AACATTGTGTAATCACATTTTCTGCTATCTCCCAGTAGGGCACAAGAAAAAGGATGAAACTGAGACTGGAGTAAGTTTCTTTGACTTTTTACTCAATTAAAATGCCAAAAAATAAAATTTTATCTCATAGTAATGTTTATGCCATTCTGATACAGATGGAACATGTTGGTGGAAAAGACTTAGTGGCCAATGACAAAGATTTAAGAAAAAAATCTGAAATCAAGGCTGTTTCATGTGAACCAAATCAGACTGAAAGTAAATCAAAGGTAACTTGAAATTACTCTGTAATTATCTTTTGGATGTTTGGTCAATTTTTTATTTAGATTTTAATTGTGTTTATTTCAGAAGGAGTTCAATAAATAAACTCATATATTGTAAAGTGTAGTCATCTTTAAGTATGCAAATTATAATCGTGAACGTCTTAACATATGAAAGGACTATGTTGCGGCCATTTATGTAAATTTTGTGGATTGTAAACTAACAATCTATTTTTCTTCTTTGGACAGTTCAAATATATTTAAGTTACTTTAGAACCAAAATCTGTAACTAATTTGTATATTTGAATTGTTTATATTATGTTTTTAATTATTAGACCCTCCCATTAATTTGAGTAATTAAAAACACACCGAGTGCTTGGTGGCGGTCCATTGTTTGGCAAATGTTTGGTGTGTTGACGGGAGGTTTTTGTAAATTAATTTTTGACCACTTTTTTGTACGTGTAATGTCAGATTAACTTTACTTTTGTTTTTGGCTTAGTTGTAAGACATTTTTAGTAATTATTTTGTGACTATTTTTACAAGAAGTAAAGAATATATTTTTTCAAAACAAATCAAGTCGTAAGTGCGTGCAAATCAAACCACCTGTTGCCGCCCTCAGCCTTTGTTTGAATTTTGGTTTTTGGAACATAGAAAGCCACGACAGACTGCTTTACCAGCTTAACTACTGTGCCTGTTTGAGCATCTTAAGGTTTTACTGATCACTACTTTGATATCCTGGCCTGATTGACAACATTTACAGCCTTTTTACCAAACACTGATTTGGAACAATTAGGCTGACCGCTCTACATTTTCTTTAAGGAATCCACTGACAAAGAAGACTCAGAGGTGAAAGATGTCAGAGGAGACAAATGCATGGAAGGTAAATTTACTTGTATGGCGACTTCCCCACTGTGCACACACACACACACACACACACACACACACACACACACACACACACACACACACCACACACACACATTTGCATGCACTTTTTAAAATCAACATTGTGTAATCACTTTTTCTACTATCTCCCACCAGGGCATGAGAAAAAGGATGAAGCTGAGACTGTAGTAAATTTCTTTGACTTTTTAGTAAATTAAAATGTCAAAAGTTACAAATTTTATCTCATAGTAATATTTATGCAATTCTTGTAAAGACGAAGCATGATGGTGTAAAAGACTCGGAGGCCAATGACAACGACGAAGGAGAAAAGACTGATTCATCTCAACCGAGTCAGGAAAGTAAGAGTTTTCAAAGTCCTCCATCTACAGCACCTCCCACCAAGTCTGGTATGTCATCCCATGTTATGCAGTTACTTGTTCTATGATTGGTATTTTGTTGTCAATGACGTTTAACTAATCTGCAGACCTTTCAATGTCATATAGGTACCCTTGATATGGATGGGAACAGAGACAAGGTTGGATATACTTATTTCTAAGAATTTCTAGACTGTAAATTTTACTTTGTTGTGTTTGCTGTGTTAAATCGGGTATTATTTGCAGCCATTATTAAATTCTTCCGAGAAAGCCAGAAAATGCTCCCAAAAGAGACTAAATGGTGCTTAAAAGATTTGGACTTCAGAACCAATCTCAAACATAGTGGTCACCAGCAGAATATTTTTCAAATGGGTCAACTTTAAACCAGACAAATTACATTTCAGGGATAGATTTAGCTAATGCTGTCAGAACCTGGATTATTTTGAGGTTTGATTCTCGTTTCATTATTATCCTGTATTCCTTAGTGTTTGATTATATCAGCTTTGTTTTCTCTTCAAATTTGTTCAATGCTTTAGACACAAAGACAGTTTATTATCATTCAATTGTATGTTTAAAAATATACAAATGGAAATACATTTATTTGCAAGGCTCCAATTATATTAAATAAATAAATAAGTAATATCAAAAGTGTTAATGTAAATATATTTATAATACAAGATTAAACTAATGTCAGTTTAGCAATTCAGTTCATCCATCAGAGGGATGAAGCTCTGATGGAATCTGGTTGTTCTGCATTTGATGCTGCTGATTTTTTTCCCAGAAGGCAGCAGGGAGAACAGACCATGTTAGTGTTGAAGTACTCAAGACTGTTCTCCAGACCACTTTTGATGGTCTTGGTCTAGTCTTGGTCTCATGCGTTGAGGACTCGGGATTTCATTTTAAGACCGGTCGAGACCATAACTGTAAAAATATCACTAAATTGCCAGCATCTTGTCCAGTTTATTTAACATCTTTTTCACTCGATGCAAAATATACCAATTCAAATCCAAGCAATAACGCTACTTACTACGTGTTTCTGTTACCACTGTCACACATTGCTTCTCCCTTTCACTCGCACGCGGCGATTCAAAACGTGCAAAGTGGTTTTCTGAGCGGCAGATGTCTGTCTGAGTCAGTAATAGAATCTCACTACATCAGGGGTCACCAACTCCAGTCCTCCAGGGCTACCATCCTGTAACTTTTAGATGTGTCTCTGCTCAAACACACCTGGATCAAATAAACTACTCATTTACAGCCTATTACAAAGAGGAATGAATGCCGGTGAGGGAATTCAGACATTTTGGAGGAGAGGTGAATCTACTAACCCATCTGACAAGAGCTGGAGAAGGCGGGCCCTCACCTGTTGAGTACATGATAAACCGTATTATATAGGTTGTCCATTCAGGGTTGACTCATGGTTGCTAAAAACTTTACAAGCCCAACTGATTGTAGTGATGTAATAGGTGTAAAATATTGAATAAAATGTTGTCCTACATGACTGGCTTTATTTTCACTCTTACATTTAGCTTTATGACTCACAAAATTACAAGTGGATCGCCCATATTGTCTTGAGGTGTATTTTAGGTAAAACTAGTCACCAGCCGTCACCAACGTGTCACATATATGGGACAATGCTGTATCCAAAGTCTGCTATATAGTGAAGTGAGATTTACGAACTATACGATTCTTCTGAACGGCTCTTTACTAAGAAGGTTGAACTGAAGCCTCACTGAAAACCGTTCTTTGTTCTTGTAATGCTTTGCGTACTCTGCAGTAGCTATTAAATTATATACATTGATTTGTCTAATTAGTGAATAAATAAAACACAGGAACGGAAGAGCATACTCATTGCTCTTAGATTGTTTTTGCCACCTGTCATGGTAGCAGACATTACAGCACTGTGTGCTGCCTGACGTCATGCAGTGGGAAAGAGGGTGAGAACAGTCGTGGTGCGCTGTGTGTGTTTAGTTACTTCTTCCTCATTGCTCCTTGGTCAGCGTTCATAGTTGAGCATTTTTTACCGTTAGTGAATTGCAGTGGTGGTATGACAGTGATGGTTTCTGATATGGGCAACCTCCCAGGGTGTTATCTTTTTAAGGATGGCACACGAGTACCGTGGATTGTGGCACAGAGATGGAAGCAAAGGAGAATGAAGAAGAGTTTGAATTGATAATAATATTGGTTAACTTTATTTCAGCTCTAAGTATTTAATATCTGGGTGTTTTTATTGGAATATTAATCTTTCAAATAAATTTGAGAAGCAATTTTGATCATATTTCACATTTTATTGTGTCATGTAGCACAATAAAATGTGCTACATAACATATGTAGCACATTTTGCTACATGTCCTGGGACCCTAAAAGTCTTGGTCTTGTCTTGGGCTCAGGTTAGGCTACAACACTTCGACCATGCTGAGGGTGGAAGGGATCTTTTATAATCGCCCAAGACCTGGACAGGCAGCGACTGTGAGCGCTGTTACAGATTGAATGAACCTCAGTTCCGATGATTTTCTCAGCTGTCTTCACCATTCTCTTTACACATTGCCAGTCAAAGGTGTTAGATGCTCCAAACCAGTCAGTTTGCTCTCTATTGTCCCTCTATAGAACATGGTGAGGATGGAGGGGGGAAGTTTGCTTTTCTCATCCAACATATAAATTACAGATGTTGCTGGGAATACAGATCACTGATCAAAGTGTCAGTGATCTGTATTCCCAGGAATTTTATGTTCCTGACTTGTTCCACTGCGGCATCATTGATGAGGAGGAGTGTGTGACTTGGCTGATTTTTCCTGAAATCAACAACAAATTGTTTTGTTTTTTGACATTCAGGATTAGATGGTTTACATCACGCCAGTCCACTAGATGTTTCAACACCTCTCTGTAGGCCAGTTAGTTGTTATCCTTGATGAGACCCACCACTGTTGTATCGGCCGCATGCTTAATGATGTGGTTTGTACTGAACCTGGCTTGGCAATCATAGGTCATCAGGGTGAATAGCAGTGGGCTCAGTACACAGCCCTGAGGGGAGCCAGTGCTGAGGGAGACTACCCTTGAAGCATTTTTCCCAACCCTCACAAACTGGGGTCTGTCTGTGAGGAAATCCATCAGCCAGTTACACAGGAGGGTGTTGAGCCTTTAGTTACTTTTGTTTTATTTTGTTCTTCATAGTTATTTGTTAGTCTTACATTCATTTTCCTAGTTGCACAGTTTGTGTTTTTACCACTTGTGCCATTTTTTCCTTTCTCTTTCCTCAGCCTGCCTTCTGCTCTCTTCCTTCTCACCTGTAACCCATTTCAAGTCAGCCATCTGTTCGTTGTTCAGTAATTAAGCTCCCCAGTATATATAAAACTTCTTCTCAGTCACTCCTTGCTAGTTCCTCCTTTTACTTCCTTGTTAAAGCCCATTACACCCTTCTGGCTTTTTGTTCCTGTGTTTCTTGTTCTGCTCTGGCTCCCTGTGATTTATGCAAGTTTTTTGTTCTTCATTTTTTATTGAAACTTCATAAGCTACTTGACACCTCTGCCTTACTGTTTTGGGGTGTAACATCACCAGTACAACATCATGAGACATTACTTTTATTCAGAGTTTAATAATCACAGGTTACAGAACTGGATACAATTCTGTACAAGAACTAAGTTTGGATGAAAGTAATTCACAGGTTGCCCAAGCATCTGAAAGTGAACATACAGAGAATGAATTTGGTGCTTTTTATAGCATCCACCTCAACTCAAAAGAGAATCATATGTACCCAAATAATGAGAGTTTACCAGTTTATATACAGTATATATATATATATATTTTGTTTTCTTAAAAACAACCAAAATAACATTGTATGTCCTTTTTGCAGCCTACTAGGAATACTTTTGAGGACAACCAAAAGAAACACCAAAAAGAAACTGAAAAACTACTCGGAAGACTTCACCTCCAGGGCCAACATCAACGCACGTTAACATCAGAGTACTTTGTACAAATAGGTCTACCTATAAAAAAGACTGAGATCTTTGAGAAAGATCTAGTTTGTGCTTTTCTTCAGAGGTTAATGATGTTAGATTATAGAGCCAGATACATCCCTGTTCAGCAAAAAAGCTCTGATATGAACAATTCACATTCTGTTCAAGTGTCTGACAGTGCTCTTCCAGATGACGATGACTTAGATGCTCTTTTTACTACTAACGTAGACATAGATCAGTCAAAAGAGAATCATGTTCACCCAATGGATGTTCAAATGGCAGCATTTCACTGCTCAGACAGCTTCCTTAAACAGAAAATGATCACAAAGTTGTCACAGTGTCAGTATGCCTTACCACTGCTTGTTCCTGATCCTCTCACATCAAATCTTGAGTGTCCTTTGTGGACATTCAGACGAGTAATAAAAACATGGAAAATAAGCACAGTCAAAGAAAATGCAACCACTGTCACCATGAAGAGCATGCCAATCTACAAAGGTCAGACTCCCATGGTTTCATTTTTTCGACTGGGCTCCATGTCTTTGTCCAAATCTCAGCTGATGAATGCCTTGATCAACGACCGCCACGACACATTCTTCCACAGAAACTGTAAAGGAAGCACCAAATCTCGTCATTTGATGGATGGGGTGGCAGAGATTGCCTGGTACTATCCTGCTGGAAAACCCAATGATTTCTTTACTGACTGCATTGCCTTCTGTAATCTTCATGGGGATTCTCTAGCAAACGTAAAACAGCGTGAAATCCTGACTGAAATGTCTTCAGTCATTGTTGTTCTTGTTCCAACTCTGGACAAAAGCCAGGAAAGTACTGCAGTCATTTATATGCTTTACAAGTCTTCAAAGCCTCTAATCATTCTCATTGCTGACAATGAGTGTAGTGCAGTTCAGATGAAACCTCAAAAATATAAACTGGGTCTGAAAGAAAGAAGCCAGACGGATGTTTCTGAAGAACTAAAAAAGATTATAAAAAGCCTTTTGTCTGGACCCCACACATCCTTCAGACTGGAAACTATGGCTGATGTCTCGGTGGTCAAAGTGGATGAAAATCAGAAAATCTGCCAGAACGGGAAATCTGCTGCAATGAAAATAATTGAATTGATTGAAGGGATGAACGTTGCCAAAATCAAAGATAAATTTCTCCCCTGTCAAGGTCAACTTTGGTCCAACTGGTGCAAAATCAATAAAGAGTTGCATCATCTTAAAGGACACATTGAGAAAGAAAAGGCCCAGAAAACTCATCAGCTAATGAAACTACGAGAGAAACAGTGTAAAGCGTCCAACAGTAAACTGATGAAGTTGTTCACTCACAGCCTCCAAAGTTTGCCACCAAAAGAAAGAGAATATTTCCTGACATGGACTCAGATCCTCATAGTTGCCCTCTCCACTGATGATCTTTCTTCAATTCTCCAAAACTATGATGAAACGTGGTCAGAGGTCTTGGTCTTGAAGAAGAAACATGACAAATCTTATAAATTAAAACACAAACAGACTGAGCTTGAACTCTTGTCAAAAAAGCTGCAATCAGCAACCTTTGGTCTGGAACACATCTTCAGAGAGATGGGGCAGATCTATGAAGCCCATAAAACTCTGAATAAACTATCACTGAGCCGACATCCTGATTGGACTAAATACCCTGAGCTGGCTGCAGATCTGATGATATCAGGACACCCGATGGAGCTGATGGATGGGGATGCAGGCCACGTGCCTTTAATATGGATCTCTAGTCTCTTAAAAGAAGTAATCAAGAAACTTGGTGACCAGAGAGTCTTTGTGCTGTCAGTTCTGGGCGTGCAAAGTAGTGGAAAGTCAACGATGCTGAACGCCATGTTTGGCCTGCAGTTTGCAGTCAGTGCTGGGAGATGCACCAAGGGTGCCTACATGCAACTGGTTAAACTGTCAGAGGAAATCAAGGACAACTACAAGTTTGACTACATTCTAGTTGTGGACACTGAAGGACTGCGAGCTCTTGAGTTAGCAGGTAATGCTACCCTTCATCATGACAATGAACTTGCAACATTTGTTGTTGGTCTGGGAAACATGACACTGATCAACATCTTTGGTGAGAATCCAGCTGAGATGCAAGATGTCCTACAGATTGTTGTGCAGGCTTTGATGAGGATGAAGAAAGTTGAGCTTTCTCCAAGTTGTGTGTTTGTCCATCAGAACGTCACAGATATTACAGCAGCAGAGAAAAACATGGATGGAAAGAGACGACTGCAAGAAAAACTGGACAAGATGACTCAACTTGCTGCCAAAGAGGAAGTGTGTGATGTTGAGTGCTTCAGTGATGTCATCGCATTTGATGTGCAAAAAGATGTAAAATATTTTGCTCAGCTGTGGGAGGGAAGTCCACCAATGGCTCCTCCAAATCCAGGTTATAGTGAGAGTGTCCAAGAACTGAAGTCCATCATCTTGTCTAAAGCCAAACAGTCTACTGGGATCACTCTGTCACATTTCAACAACAAAATCCAAGACCTGTGGAACGCCTTGATGAATGAACACTTTGTTTTTAGTTTCAAAAACACCCAAGAAATTGCAGTTTACAGAAAACTGGAGGTTCAATATGGGCACTGGACTTGGGCCCTGAGGAGTGAGATGCTGAACATTGAAAACCAACTTTATCCTAGAATTGAAAAAGGCCAACTGGACAAAGTTGAGCTCAGTTACCTTAATAAAGAAATGAGTGAAACATATGAAGAAGTAACAAAAAGTATGTCAGATTACTTTGAAGATGACAAAGACAAAGAGTTGTTGGTTCAGTGGCGGGGCCAATTTGAGAACAAAATCAAAGAGTTTCATGAAGAACTTGTGAGAGGAGTGAAAAGAAAACTGGATGAAGTAATCCAGCAAAATAATGCTAGAAAAATGCTTGACAAGAAGAAGACAGAGTTTGAAAACTATCTACTCCAGAAGAGCAAAGAGCTCGCTCACCAGTTAAAATGCATTGATGATGAAGAGGAACTAAAAGCACAGTTCAACGATGTTTGGAGTCACTGGGTTAAGGAATTAACCTCTGATACAAAACCCATTGAGAACATAAACTTGGAGAAAGATCAGATTGCTGTGCTTCAAGAACTTGGTGTTGAATGGGGACTCATTGATGAGTCAAAAAGAAGTAAGAGATACAAAAATCTGTCAGAACATGGTGATTATTCTGATTACACTACCATAAAAAAGAGCATTGGAGGTGTCATTGAATGTGTCAGAATGACTTTTGATTCACATAAAGACCAGGAACTGATCCGATCATTCATTAACGAGGTTGAACAAAAATGTCTTGTAGCTATTAAGAGCAAACCTGTTGCAACGAGAGGCTTTACATCAACTTACTTGAAGGAAGTGGCTCAAAACATAAAAGATGAAATACAAAAAAATGAATC